TCTATACATCAACGGTGGCTTCTGCACCGTGTAGCGGAAATTCGAAAATTCATTGCCACCGCGGGTGGCCTCAAAATCGAGTAGCAGACCCGATGGAACGAAGTAGCGCGTGACACATTTCTCAGTCTCCCCGGCGCTCTTCCTTTTTTCTCCCTCCGGCCTCCGTCCTCGCAGAAGTTAATGCATTTCATTAATCACCGGACTCGCCCCCTCGTCCTCATCCTTTCCGTCTGGGTTCCCGACCTTCCGCCCCGTATTTGCCGGCTCGCGCTACCGCCTCTGATGCCTCTTTATTATTATTTGTCACCTGCTTTGGCTGCTTCTCGATTATCCTTGTCTTTCATTTCTACAGAAGTTCTGATCGCGATTATACCTGCTCAAGTAAAAACAATACATGTATATAGCGTCAGCTAAAAATTGATATACGCATGTATATTTGTGTCAAAAAAAGGAATTTTATTAAAAATTTTTGCTTACTAGTTATATCTGTTTGCATTATAAATTAGTAGATGACCTCAGTTTATATCAATGTACATATTTGGAAAATACAGGATGTCCCATTAAAAGTGTTAGTGCCGGAAAGAGGTGATTTTGGGCAATAATTTCCTTGGGCAAACTGTAAACTGAAGAGTGTTTTTTGTTTATATATTAACGAAGAAACTTGCCTCACTTCGCGGTTTGCCAAAGGAAATTGTTGTTCAGAATCACCCCTTTCCTACTCTAACACTTTCTCTGGAACGCCCTGTATATCAAGCTTCTGGTCTCTTTATGAATGGCCTCAAGTGTGTAGTCACAGTTAGTTGATGGTTCGCGATAAATCAGAGAAGAAATATTTACAGCAATTCTACATTTAATCATTTTACATATTTTTCTTATCTTATTCAGTTTCGTATAATTTCCTAAGAAAAATGTAGGCCATTCGAGGCTATTCAAGTGAACGTATGTTGCTACGTTTAATTGTAAATATTTATGCTTGAAAGAATGGTTATAAACAATAAGAGTCGCAAATACTGCAATGAGAGTATCAGCAATTCGTTTAAAAATGTTGCTCATTAATCACGCGCAAAGGGAGCTGGCCTATCCTGTTCAATTCTCGGACACGTTGATATTTTTCCATCTGCCCAATATGTTCCTTATTATTTATCACGAGCCTAGAAGAAATGCGGAATATCGGGGTCGATAAATAAAAATAAAGCGAGACACGTCTAACGTAGTTACTTAGAAACGAATGGGAACGGACGCCTAAGAGGCTAAGAACGGAGGAAAATAGAACGGAGGGTAAGAGGAGAGGATTCGCGGATAAAAGGTTGACGGGTACACCACTTTCTGCCCTCTGAGCGGTCTGAATGCTGTCCTAAAAGTGTTCCCTCGCGACGACGACGCGGGATGAGAACAAGCCGGATGGCTCGAGCGCGACGCATTTATCCGTTGTGTCAGCACGCCGCCCTATTGCCGTCTTACTCCTCTTTAAACTCCTCGCCCACTTATCAACGTTACCTGTGAACGGCATCAAACCGGTATCGACGTATCCACTCGGTGCTGTCGTCCATTTATCAACGCCGCGGCTACATTGTTTCTCGATTGTCTATGCGTTGCTGTTTACACAATCTAGAGTGGTGATATCCGAGCAGCATAGAAAGAAAGAGATACCATAGATGTAGGAGACGGTGTATAAACTAATTTTATAGACGCAGGGGTGTGAAGTGTGTGCAATGTTTTATTAATTTAATACCTAACAACTGTTAAAACTGAATGATTTATCATTGTTTTTATTTAAGGGTTCATACAACCTTAATCCTTTCGCTACGGCAGTCCGTTCCGCGGGATCACTTTATATTTCTTTTTTTTTTATTATTTTTTTTCTAGATACTTTATATTATAATCCTTGTTTTCTATTATAGTTTTGTGCCTTACAAATACTTGTATTGTATTATTGTATTGTATTGTATTGTATTGTATTGTTTATTTACCATCCAATAGAAAAAAATTGAAGATTCTTATTTCGTATGTAAAATATGCAGGATTTAGTTCAGTACGATCTATTAGATTCAAAAGATATTCGGACGCCGATTATAATCGGCACCCGTACACACAGCAAGTCGCGCGGCCGCCGACTATAGTCGGTGTCCGTAGCGAAAGGGTTAAAGTTGGCGATATAAACGAATTGAATTTTCCATACTAGAACGTGTGAAAAGGGTTTGAATGCCACAAGTCACGGGGATGTCCGGTTAAAAGCTTTTCAGTCGGCATTCAAGCCGGTCATTCATCGTTGATTTTTATTAAGGCTCGATTAACGACGTCCTGCGGAAGCTTTCCTTTACGATGACACGGAGCTTCTTTTTGCTACGGGAACGGGTGTCCGACTTTGAGATTAATCATAGCTGGGATTAATCTGCCGAGGGGATGCGTGAATGTGAGAGGTTGGAGTGTGAATAGAGAAAGGGTGGAGAGAGAGTTTGAATTGAGTCGTGGAATTGGGTTGGGTTAGCCGTGGCTTCGCTTGTAAGGATAGTTGCTCGAATCTTAGAGCATGCTGCTTTTTTTAACTGCATTTACACGTCTTGCCGGTTTGCTTTTCTCTCTCTCTCTCTCTCTCTTTCTCTTTCTCTCTCGTTTTAGTCAAACGAACTCAGCAAAAGAAGAGCATGATTTTTCCCAGCGCAGCGTCAGCTTTGCAAACAGGCTTAAGACGTTAAAAATGCAGAAAGTATAATTAGCACCCTAAAATGTTTCAATCAGGGTATCCCCTCATTCGATTAGCCAGTTTACCGGAAAATTGTACGATTATTCCACGATTAGCCCTCCCGTTTCGTGTTTCATTGGTTTTCCAGTTCGCCTGCGATTCGCTCACGGTCGAACGGGCCCCGTTCAAGAACCGAAATTGCCGCACCCCGCCGATACCCGCCGGTGGTGAATTGAATTTCTTCGTCGCACCCTATCGATTATTCGCGTTGTCGCCGCGACGTACGACGAGCGTGCACACACGCCGCCTTTTTTACGAGTGAACGAGCCGCGCCGAATCGTTAAGTCGACGGAATAACCGCGGTTCTCACTTTTACGATTCGCATCAATTTGTTATTACTCCTCACCGCGAAGATTTACGTCCCATGGAATCGCCAATACTCGTTTCCCTACCCATCCGTCGCATGTGTCAAACTTGAAAATAATTAATTCGAGTTCCTACATTGTTATAATTAAACTACGGGTCTTTGTGCAAAATAAAATGTTCATGGTATCAGTTTAAAAAATGCATTCTAAATAGACTTCTTTTTATTATGTAAAAATTGCAACAGACATTTTTTTCTGTCTTGTATAATTTTGAACATTTCTTTTTATTATGTAAAAATTGCAACAGACATTTTTTTCTGTCTTGTATAATTTTGAACATGGTAAACATTTTTTTATTTTCATTGTCTCTAAAAATGCATAGATTCTGTTATTTAATTAAAATTCTTTAGTTTTTAATAGTAAAGGAAATTATTCTTCCTGGTTGTAGATTGAAAAATGAAATTGCTTTTACTTTGCAAAGATAATTATGTGTTTTGGTATTATGCGACTTTGAAGGACGAACTGCCACTGTGGCAAGAATATGTTAGGAAATTGTATTTCTGTAACAGAGAGAAGTACATATTTTTATTGTAAAATAGTTCCTATTACAATTTCTTGTGTCTCTGGGATAAAAATCCTTCTTGTCTGAGCTTACTCTTTATGATCTCCCATACACTTTGTATCATATTTGTTCGGATTTTATTGCACGCTTTTTCATCTAGTGCCCTCATCTTTATATTCTTCTAGACTGTTTTTTCCTAAAGATTGTTTGGAACGTCGAATGACGGCAAAGCCATAAAACATCTGGGTTGCAAATTTAACCTTTGAGTCCTGACGAGTACGAAGATGTTCTTTTCTTTTCTAGAAAGATTTTCCCAGGCCTCTACTTTAATAGTTTGGAAAAGTTCGAGTAACTCGTTTCTTAGCAGCCAAGCGAACAAACAATTACGATCTCTGATTTTGAGCGAAGTTCCCCTATAGTAATTCGTTGTCCTTTTTGATTAATCATTTATTTCTTATAAATTCCCATTTATCAAACAGCAGATCAATATTATTATATTCTTCGAAAGGGATTAAAATAGCTATATAAGTACGTGAGAGTAAAATTTGAAGAGATATAAAGGAAAACTAAGTATGCGTTTATCAGACGATTTATTTTCACAGTCTTCGCGTCGATATTTCTTATTACTAGCCGGAATCAATTTGCCGAGTGTGCAAATAAATAACGTATACAGAGTAGATAAAGTTCCTTTCGGACGGCGCCAGGATTTTTTCGAGGCTGCCAGTTAGCCGGAATCGGGAGTTCAAAGAGAGGGATGCCTGACTCGGGTTCTCCGTACGAATATCGAGTAATTTTGTAGCGTGCGAAATAACGTCGCTGAATATGCAACGTAACGCTGCCCGCCGATAGAATAAGGGAAGCCGAATTTTGATCGTTTAGCATGCAAATACCTCTTCACCCGGAATTCAGACGACAAGCTCCCGGCTCTTTTCCGATCTCGTTATGAAGCACGGAGCGAGGTTAAAAGCGTCCCTCAACCGGTTTATTCTGTTTGCCCAAACTAGCCCGTTTTAATGTTCCCAAAAGACCGGGGCACCGATTTGATTATACCGTGTACAGTGTTCCTCCGATAAAAAGTTCTACAGGTTACTCGCGACTCGTATGAATTATCTTGTTTGGAACCAGGTTGTATAAATCCTTACACCAAAACAACGACAAAGTATTAAAATTTTATCAGTTACTAAATGTTACATTAATAAAACGGTGTATAAAATTATAGAAACTTTGCGAGCCGAAAAAAAGTTATTACATTTTGAATTCTTATGTCGAACGACAGAATTTTGATTTAATTTATAAAAAAAACTATGAATGCAATAATGACAGAATTTTGTAATTTTCTATAATTCTTAATACGTGATTTAAGAATATACAATTGGATACATTTAGATGTAACTAATGCCGGCGGTCAATAACTTTGTTAATAGACGTTGATTAATCTGCTTTTCGTGTTTTTTACGAGTCGCATAAATTTTGCATTTCGATGGCTGATTCAGCGCGGTATTCGTCGATAGGAGACAGATGTTGTCCTAACAAAAGATTGCTCGTACTGTGCAGGCGACACCGCACCCGTACGTCACCTGTCTCTGAAGAACCTCCTACCAGATACGACCACTTACATGACTTACGAGGGCAGCACGACTCACCCGGGCTGCTGGGAGACGACTGTATGGTTGATCCTCAACAAACCTATTTACGTAACAGCACGAGAGGTGAGTGCCACGCCGTAGTCGACGTCTCCGCTTTTCACCAAAACCTTCCTGAATTCATATTCATTCCCCAAGACGTCTTTTTCGTCCTACAATTCAGGTTTCCTTAAGCAAACTGATTTGATGGCCGTATTATTGATTTAATTATGGCCTTACAACTGATTTAATTATGGCCTTAGGCAAACTGATTTAATTATGGTGTATTATTAACGCTATGAAAAATAATTCGAAGAAAATCTATGATCTTTTCAGTAACTTAAACGATACTTAAGTCTTTTTATTTTAAGGTCAGTGATTTATTCTAGTAAATGCAATTCAGTTACTCTAAGGTTAATTGTTATTGCTGGAAGCAATGTTAACATAGCAAGTCGAACGACTCGCCCTAATTATATTAATTATTTACTATGGAAGAGGATTTACATTTACGATGGCTTATAAATTCTGGTAAATCTCATCAAGTAACGCGGTATATCCCAAGCCGGCGTTATCAATCTTTCACCGTTGCAAAATTAATCGCGCGGCGATAAATAAGTTAATGAGGTGTCAGGCTAACACCGATTACCTAAGTACATTACTTTCGAGCTTCTCCGGCCGATTCTATTCTCGCGATAGAGCTCTGCCCGCCTCCCACCCCCGGACTGATTACCCCGACCCATCCGACCACGCCATTACTTAACAAGCTCTGGTTTATGGTTAAATATTGAACGAGGAGGACGGGCATCGTTACATCGTAATCCTAATCCCATTTCCAGCTTTACGCACTAAGGAGACTAATGCAGGGCCCGCAGAACACTCCGAAAGCACCCCTGGGAAACAATTCCAGGCCGATCCAGGATCTTAATCATAGGACTATACGGACGAACATCGATTTCCACAAGGTGAATGGCCACTATTACATTTTCTATTCCCCTGGTCCGATCGTTTCTCTTCGCCCAACACGATTCAGGTTCCCCTTTTTTAAATTTCTGCTAATTGATCAAAAAAGTCATCCTCGTCTTGCATATAATGACAGAATTTTGTAATTTTCTATAATTCTTAATACGTGATTTAAGAATATACAATTGGATACATTTAGATGTAACTAATGCCGGCGGTCAATAACTTTGTTAATAGACGTTGATTAATCTGCTTTTCGTGTTTTTTACGAGTCGCATAAATTTTGCATTTCGATGGCTGATTCAGCGCGGTATTCGTCGATAGGAGACAGATGTTGTCCTAACAAAAGATTGCTCGTACTGTGCAGGCGACACCGCACCCGTACGTCACCTGTCTCTGAAGAACCTCCTACCAGATACGACCACTTACATGACTTACGAGGGCAGCACGACTCACCCGGGCTGCTGGGAGACGACTGTATGGTTGATCCTCAACAAACCTATTTACGTAACAGCACGAGAGGTGAGTGCCACGCCGTAGTCGACGTCTCCGCTTTTCACCAAAACCTTCCTGAATTCATATTCATTCCCCAAGACGTCTTTTTCGTCCTACAATTCAGGTTTCCTTAAGCAAACTGATTTGATGGCCGTATTATTGATTTAATTATGGCCTTACAACTGATTTAATTATGGCCTTAGGCAAACTGATTTAATTATGGTGTATTATTAACGCTATGAAAAATAATTCGAAGAAAATCTATGATCTTTTCAGTAACTTAAACGATACTTAAGTCTTTTTATTTTAAGGTCAGTGATTTATTCTAGTAAATGCAATTCAGTTACTCTAAGGTTAATTGTTATTGCTGGAAGCAATGTTAACATAGCAAGTCGAACGACTCCCCCTAATTATATTAATTATTTACTATGGAAGAGGATTTACATTTACGATGGCTTATAAATTCTGGTAAATCTCATCAAGTAACGCGGTATATCCCAAGCCGGCGTTATCAATCTTTCACCGTTGCAAAATTAATCGCGCGGCGATAAATAAGTTAATGAGGTGTCAGGCTAACACCGATTACCTAAGTACATTACTTTCGAGCTTCTCCGGCCGATTCTATTCTCGCGATAGAGCTCTGCCCGCCTCCCACCCCCGGACTGATTACCCCGACCCATCCGACCACGCCATTACTTAACAAGCTCTGGTTTATGGTTAAATATTGAACGAGGAGGACGGGCATCGTTACATCGTAATCCTAATCCCATTTCCAGCTTTACGCACTAAGGAGACTAATGCAGGGCCCGCAGAACACTCCGAAAGCACCCCTGGGAAACAATTCCAGGCCGATCCAGGATCTTAATCATAGGACTATACGGACGAACATCGATTTCCACAAGGTGAATGGCCACTATTACATTTTCTATTCCCCTGGTCCGATCGTTTCTCTTCGCCCAACACGATTCAGGTTCCCCTTTTTTAAATTTCTGCTAATTGATCAAAAAAGTCATCCTCGTCTTGCATATTTTCAATAATATTCATATAGAAATCTCTGAATGAACAAGTCTTGTGTTATGATAGAATCTAAAAATAAATACGTAATTTATATTATAATAAAGTTTGACATTTTTCAATTTTGTCTCAATTCTGAAGATTCGGATTTACTGAGCAATTCTGGTCAGACAATTTTATACGTTTGTTTGTTTGTTGAACAGCAGCCGGACGCGAAGTGCCCGACGATGGCGAAGGACATGCACTATAGAGGTAACCCAGGACATTATCCAGGCTCGAGCAGCCCCGAACTTCTTACCGTCTAGCGAAGGGATCGTCTCGATGAGAATCTGAAAAGATGACTTTTTCTTTCCAGCGAACACGTGGCAGGACGATGGCACCCTCACGCACAACGTCGTTGTCTGAGATCGCCGATTACGACGCGACAGGTTCACGCGAATGTCTCCTAAAACCAACGTGTAGTGCTAACATGATCGCGTTCAAACAATTCGCTTCATCGGACTCTGAAACATTTTCATTTGTTATGACAAAGTGACACGACGGAAACGTTAGAATTCATAGAGGCCTAACTTTACGACACCCTCATTTGGAAATTCGTTGAACAAACACTTGCCGTAATCAATAATCGGACACGATTAATTTGAAATAATCGGGCGACCAGCTAGAACGGAGAAACCAGATTCCATTTCCGGAAGCTGATCCACGGAATAAGATATGATACCCGAAGACGTGGAACAATCGACAGAGGTTTCACGTGTTTCGACGTCGAAACACCATCAATTCCGTGGCAGCTGCATCCCATTTCGGGCCGGAGGAAGATACACGGGCCGCGGGGTAGACGAGCACGAGTTCCTGGGGTCGTTTCTCGAGCCGATTTTGACGGGAATGATAAGTGTGTTCGAGCACAGCGGGAATTTGTATTTGTCGCTCGGACGCCCTCAGGAAATCGTTCCCGTCGTTCTTTCGAATACGGAATGGGATCTCCGAGCGTACTCCGCGAAGACACGGTTGTCAACGAGCCTAGCCGACTACTGCTATTGCCAATCGACAATTATTCCTACAATCGGCGGTCTTTATGATTTGTCACAGAGAATCTCGTCGACGTTAAAAGTTTCCAAATATAGCGATAGGAAATGCGTAATTAATTGTATATGAAAATGGGATTTCGTTCTTCGTGTAAATTAAAAAAATTGCTTCGATCCTGTCACTTCACGAAACTTCGCTTTTACTACTTGCCAAAGCGTGTGATCGTTGCCCTGTATTTCCGAACTGGAGAACGATCGCGTACCTGTCGCTGCTAGCAGAGGACTCGCGCTTGTTCCGCTTTCAAACCAACCGCAGGAAACACGCTTCTGAGCAATATTGGGAGTGCGACTTACTTGACAGGTTTTTGTCAATTATTTTGTAGCCAATATATAAACAAGCTGAACCGAGACGTATAGAAACGTGTCAAAGTAAGGAATTCGATGAAAGAACACGAGACGAAAGCGGAACGAGCGACAGCTGAATGCTTTGGAAGGAACGAGAGGTTCGAATAGGACGTGGAAACGAAAGATACGAGGCAAAGCCGCGATTCCCTGGCCAACGGCGATCGCGAGGTGAAATAAATCGGATCGTTCGCAGCTTGACGGTCCGTCGCTTTTGTATATATAAAATAACAGACACTAACAAGTCCGCAAGGGAAGGAATTACTATTAAAAATAGGGGTAAGGGCAGATTAAGAGGACATTTAGGGAGAGGGACGGGGGAGAGTGTGTATAGAGAATAACGCTGTATCATACGAAAGTGAACGTTTAACGATTGTGGTTAATGAATAACGATAAACAATAAACGCAACGTTATATTGTACCAGCACGTCTCCTGTCAATTCACCGGTCTCTTCGTTCGACTCCCTTCTCCTGGCGTCACTGTTGTTCGCGACGTTTCTTCGAATAATTAACACACCGATCCGATTGAGCTCTACGTGTTCGATTAAAAAGTAGAAAGCAATCGGAGGTCTGAATTTGAAATGAAATTAGGCAGTTTTCTCGTTGAAGTTGCGATAGCTTGTTGATAAGATAAGAACGAACTGAAGAAGATGGACAATAAATGCAAAATCTTTTTCTGTCATATATTAATAAATAAGATCGAGGTGAAATAAATCGGATCGTTCGCAGCTTGACGGTCCGTCGCTTTTGTATATATAAAATAACAGACACTAACAAGTCCGCAAGGGAAGGAATTACTATTAAAAATAGGGGTAAGGGCAGATTAAGAGGACATTTAGGGAGAGGGACGGGGGAGAGTGTGTATAGAGAATAACGCTGTATCATACGAAAGTGAACGTTTAACGATTGTGGTTAATGAATAACGATAAACAATAAACGCAACGTTATATTGTACCAGCACGTCTCCTGTCAATTCACCGGTCTCTTCGTTCGACTCCCTTCTCCTGGCGTCACTGTTGTTCGCGACGTTTCTTCGAATAATTAACACACCGATCCGATTGAGCTCTACGTGTTCGATTAAAAAGTAGAAAGCAATCGGAGGTCTGAATTTGAAATGAAATTAGGCAGTTTTCTCGTTGAAGTTGCGATAGCTTGTTGATAAGATAAGAACGAACTGAAGAAGATGGACAATAAATGCAAAATCTTTTTCTGTTATAAATTAATAAATAAGAAGACACAAATTTTATAAAAAGAATTATATATAAAGTTTGAGTATCACGTAGAAGATAGCATCTGAACTCTCTATCCTGGAGTTATTTTACAAATATATCGAATTAAAAAATAATTATTCGAAGAAGCGAGCAACGGTTCCCTTCTCCAGGAGACGAGAGCCCACGGGGCTCCACGTTGGATCCTGGGTCATCGAAAAATCCTGGTACATTGATAAATCGTCTGGACAGAAATTGGGTGGAAACGACGGGGCGGGCAAAGTTCGTAGCCGCGTCCTCATCCTTCATTAATTATACTTCGTCCTGACAACTTTCGAGGACCCCGTCGGGACGTAGGCTCGGCCAAAGGTAAGTGAATTACATTTTACCAATTCCCAAATCGAAATTTTCGTACCCCTGGTGATCGATCGGGGACTGAAACGTTATTCAGGTTCGAATAGGACTTTATACTGGACCAATATTTCAAAACACTGAAGCTCGTTCAAAATCCTAATTAACAGAATTAGATTGAAATAGTGCGAATTGTAATTAGAAAGAGTATAATTAGAAAGCAAGATGGTGATAACGATTAGAATAATTAGAATGTATATTTAAAAGTTTCAGAAACGGGCTAATTTTTCAAGGCAAACTTACCGATGAAAGTAAACGGGCAGGATAAATATTAATTGAATTAAACGCTCAGTAATGAAGAAGTTTCGCGTTGAGACAAACTCGTTCTTTCTATTTACCAACTCGGGAATGGCGCAATATAACCATAACGTAGATTCTAACGAGTTAAACAACGGACTCTAGCAGACTCCGACAAAGTTCAATGACTTTAACAACTCCGTGCGAACGGGGGTGGTCTTTAGAGGATCGTTCCAGTGACTGTCACAGAGTTTAGCATTTCCGACCTGTCGCTGTTGCCCGAAAAATTATGAAATAATTAATATTCGTTCTTATAAGAGCCAATTTAAGATTCGATGGATCGTCACTCTTTTTGAAAGAATAGAAACCACTTTCTTTTTTTATTTCTCATGCGTTGAACGCTTAGCATAAATTTATGTTAAAACAATGTAATATATCGACTGTATTATTCGTTGATAGAGAATGTGTTCCTTTTTTGTTCACACAGAGAGTATTTCTTTTTTGTTACTCGGTCATTGTTTAAAAATTGTTCAGCTTTTGACAAAGGGTGACAATCGCCATTTCGATACGTCCATTGTGCGGAATCTGGCATTGTATCAGCATTCCATTCACAAACGTTCAAATTTGGATTTCATTTTACTGATAAATACGAGCATATGGAACACAATCAAGCGAGCAAAAAATAGCCTCCGTAAAAAATGAAAAAAAAAAAAAAAATAGCTCGCAACGAGAACGTAAAACGTTTCCACTAAAAGAAATATTCAGATGTTAAATCAGCGTTTCTATTCGATCTTAATTTATCGAATCTCCGTCGTCAATGCGTCAAAGGGCACCTCTTAACGTTTCAATCACGTCGCGGTGTAAAAAAGTGTTGAACGATCGAAAGAGATTGGCAAAGGAGTCATCGATACATCGAGCACGCAAGTGTCACTCGAACGCGGGGCAAAGCAATGAGCAACCGCGTCTCTTGTCGGCAATTACGTCGACCCGGTCTGACACAGAGAAAGAGTTACTAAAAGAAAGAACGAAAGAGTGAGAAAGAGAGAGGAGAGTCGAGGGTGTGCTGAGTGGCAAAGTCGCGGACGAGGTAAGAGGATGAACGAGATATGCTTACGAAGCTTCAAGTCTCCCGAAAGACAGAGAGATCTTCTCGCTCGTGGCCGAGATCGGGTAAAGAGAAAAGGAGAAGACGAGAAGAAAAAGAAGAAGAAGAAGACGACGAAGGAAATAAGAAGCTGGGTCGGGACACTCGATTGAAGTGAGAGGAAGAGCCACTCTTCGCGCTCCTTTATGGAAATTAAGGATGTGATTTCGGTTCCCGCGAGAGTCGGGCTTCATCCTCTGGCTCCGAACCTTTGAGGCTTCTTTCGCTCGCTACCGCGACTCGTCATTTTTTATAAACCACTCACCGCCGCCGCCGCCGCGTCGATGCGGCAAATTGTAAATTGATTTCGTCTCGCCGTGCTCCCGCTGGATTTCCTGTTAGGCGAAAGCCCGAGGCGCGAGCGATGCATTAGACCCATGAACGCTGACTGCGGTTTTATCACTCTTCTTTAACGCCTCTGTTTTGCTAAGTACTCTGCGAGAACACGTGTCTCAATTATTCAATACTATCATTTCGCGTCTTGAAACGAAACTCGGCCCAGTTTTAAGGATCTATTGGCTATACAGTCAATCCGAAAAGTTTATGTACCTTAGAAAAACGCATTTTCTATAATTGAAAAGAAATCAGACGTCGGAAGAATAATGCTAATAAGGAATAGCTACGTGCTAAAAAGTATAGAAGGCAATATCGAATTAAGTATTGACGCTGACGAAAAATTCTTTTTTCAAAATTGCGAAAAATGCTTCAAAGAAAAGTTATTTTCCTTCTAACTGCGATATTTAACGAGTTACGTATGATTATTTGACATTTTATTGATGTTGACAAAATCCGACCATCCCAGCGTCGAAACCGCGAACTTTTGGCAAAAAATTGCATTTTTCCTTAATTATTCCTAAACCCTTGGAGATACGGGAAAATTGCATAAAACCTTTCTTGTAGAGGACGACGAGACCTACAATTTGTGTATAAAAGTTTGTCGCTAACATTAATATTTAACGAGTTATTGACGAAAAACGAAAAAACAGTTTTTTGCAAATTACTCGTTAACTATTGACGCTAGCAAGAAACTTTTATACAGAAATTGTAGATCTCATCGTCCTCTACCAGAAAGGTCCTATGCAATTTTCCCGTATCTCCAACGGTTTAGGAGTTATTGAGGAAAAACGAAAATTTCGCAAAATCTGAAGGGGTACCCCTTGACAAAATCTCGGAAAAATCGAAAATTTTTTTTTGTTGCTTATTATTACTAATGTCTTTTCGACGTCTGATTTCTTTTTAAAAAATGCGTTTCTAAAGTGCATAAACTTTTGAGATTGACTGTATAGCCAATACATCCTTAAATAAAGCAAGACATCTAAAATTATAACACAAGGTGTTCTTTTTTATTAAAATACACGTGACACGTGTGTTCGGTATCATTTAATAAGCTGAACGAGCAATCGTAACGACTTATTACACCCGGTTTCACCGATCGTACTCTCGCTCGATAATCGATTAACGGGAGTGATCTGATCTACGATGATCAACGAGGTCCGCGGTTAATCGGCCCGGTTTTTGCCGGAGGAACTGGATTCTCATTCGCGGACCAGCCAGTTCTTTAACGGCGAACGGCCATCCGATACGTTCGGCTCCTCGACCGCGACGCGATTTGTGCTGAACCGGATCCGTGTGCGCCGACGTACGTGTGAAATGAGGTAATAAAAATATTACGAGGATCTCTAATCTTTCCCGGTATAATAGTATCCATAATTCCTCGCCGCGTTGTAGAGTCATGATCGGAAGAGGAAAACCCTACCTCGTCTTATCGAGACTCGCTCCATCGAACGTAAACCGTAGTGATAGCGCGTATTAACGTTACCGTCTGCCGAACGTGGTTACAGTATTATTTTCGTGGACGTCATCACGTTCCCTTTCATAGACTCTGGATTTTGATGCAAAATAAAAGAGAAATCCGTGTCGGATAAACGTTTGTCTCATCTGCCAAATCAAAAACTGTTTCTGCTCTCAGAAACCATAACTCACTTTGCATTTTGTCAAAGGAAATTGTTGGTCAGAAACATCTCCAGAATCAACCTTCTTCAGCTCTAACATTTTTTCTGGAACACTCTGTATAATTGTCATGCATTTGTATAATATTGTGTGTAATAATGTTAATAAAATCGGTGATAAAATCAATAGATGTATTCTAAAACTGATCAAATTCAATTTAGCTATATCGAAAATAAAATTTGCTTTTCACTGAAATCTTTGAAACAGAAGTGAACGGAGTCTTACTGATCGCTGCATTATAATGTATAGTAATGCAATTTAAATCCGGTGTACATCGAGACGCCAAATCGTTTTCTATTCGAGAACGAGGAATCGGCTTACCAGTCACAATGGCCGTGGTGGAAAACGATTTTCCACTGGTACTCAAAAGGACCAAACCTCCGTAACAGACTTACCACGTTTGAACAATTC